CGTTTTCGAGGTCTTCCCTTCAAGCTAATTCTTTCGATTCGCGGACGGTCTGGACCACGTCTAGTTGATGCCGCTTCTTCTTGATCGAAATGTTCATTCTCGGAACCCTCTTCTTCACTTGCTGCTCTCTGGTCGCTATCTTGGATTTCTTGTCGATTGTCTTCGATCATAGGATCTATGGGAACGTCGATCGTGGAAGTTGGAGGTATGACGTCTCCTTCTTCCAGATCTTGAAGAACGAGATCTTCACAGTCATCATTCAACTTTAAATCTATTTTCTCTATAAATTTTACGTCTCGAGCTATGTATACTCTTCTGTCTTCTGGGAACCATACTCTAAATCCCTTCTTCTGAATATCCGACGAAAACGCCTTCCTTACATCTTGGTCGGAACTTATCTTGATTTGGTTTCTTCTGATGACATAACACGACAACCAAAAGTCTTAAAATAGCTAACGTTGGGCTTCTTGCCTCCCAACTCAAAAGGAGTCAAGAGGTACGTGCTCGTAGAAGCTTTAATGAACTTTAGGAAATACAACGCAAAAATACAGAATACAAAAAAACTACAGCTCATTACTTTTTTTACAATTATTCATGTGTTCTTGTTTGTTGTCATGACAAACCTACAGGGTCGCCCTTTTCTAATATCTAACAATAAACTCAAACAAATTGGTTGTTACCTAGTGTTTTTGGTCACTGTTTGTGAATCTAAAAAAAAATACATTCTCTGTTTTAACCGGAATAAATCGTCCGGCGCGTTCAATGACGCATCAAAGATTGGCAAACTTGGTGTTTCTGACTTTTGAAAAATACCGTACCAATTCTTTGGACTTCGACAGGTTTTTACGAAAATTTAATAGCGTAAAAAATCGACGTTTACAATTATCTTAACGTTCTTTCAAAATGTAAAAACTGAGAAAAAATAAAGTAGTATTATCAAAATATGTATATATATTTACATGAAGCCCCCTCTGTCGACAAACATGCCCCCCCTGAATAAGTTTTCTAGCTACGGGGCTGTATCTATCCAGATTTTTATTATCCAGATAACCTCCAAAACTACCGGACCGATTGTTGTTAAATTTTATATGCATGTTAGGAATATCGTACAGATGGTAAAACGCTACCAAAATTTGTCCAATCTCCCGAATAATGTGACGACATCGCCTCGAAATTTTTCATAGTATCTACGCAGGGTTTAAATTTTATAAAACAGCATACTTCTGTACTTGTTTTAGGTATTAACGAAACCTCTAGAACGGTACACCTTAGTGTTATTTTTAGTATTACACTGCATATGCTGGAATTGATATACGTGTCCTTGTTGAAATAATGTTGACCGAAACATTTTTAAATGGGAAAATTCACTAATACAATCATATAACCGTAGTCCTGCGCTTTATCAGTGTATTCATATTTTTGGAGCAATTGTTAATCCGGTTACTATCATGTGTTGACGACAAGGTCACTCCAGAATTGCCGACCAAATATAAGCAAGCTATACAAGAATCTCTAAAAAAATATATAGCGTGTCACTAAAAAATAAGTGAAATAAGGTAGAGAAACGTCAAAAGAAAAATATAGGGTGTCAAAACAAATTTATATGATCTCATTTATCTTCTTAAGCGGTTACTGGTATTACTTATCTATATTTATTTTGAATGTATAAAGGTTATCACGAATAAAAATTCGCAAATTCTTTTTTTTTTTATTTTCAAAAAAAGCGGGATTTGTTGGACTGTACGTACTTCAGGGGCGAGGGAAATCCTGTCGAAATAACCTTCAAACAATTTTTTATTTATTCATAACAAAACCAACAACAGAAAATAACATCAAACGATCACATTAGTTTAGTTATTGTTATTAGTCAGTAACTGATGGTATATCCATTATTTTGTATAACTTTTTCACATCAGCTTGGCAGATATCACATTTTGTATGACCTCAGCGGGGAGGGTTTTCCATATTTCTTGGATTTATGTTAGCAGATTTTGTTTATTCGTGAATACGGAAGTTCTTATTAGTCGCTGACCACTTCAAAATTTAAATGTTGTTTTCTTGGAATGACTCTTTATTGATCCATGAAGTACGTTTTGAATCGTTATCCTGTTGAAAAACGATATGTAAGGCAAGGGCGGCTGATGCCAGAGGGCAAGGGCACGTGTCCCCCCAAAATTACAACGTCTAGAAACACACTGGACATAGCAAAATAGTAATTTCAATATTTAAAAAATAATGGGGAAATTTTTGTCATAATTATCAAAACTAATTTTTTTTATCTAGCTCCATTTGTATAAAATGTATCAAAACTCACACCTAATCTCTCAAGATGTTGTGTTTTGGATATATCATATGTTGTTGGTGAAGTGCTGATAAAAACGGAGACCAAATCATGACTCATTTAGGGCCGGTTTATAGAAAAGCGAATTAAATATTTAATCCTCGATTAGTTTAACTTAACAGAGGATTAAAATGTGGACTATGAGCCCGTGAGTGGTTAAAACATGCGCGTTGTCGCGCAACGGACCTCAATTAAAAGTTAATCCTTTAACATCGCTTTCTATAAACCGGGTCGTAGACGTTTTGTTTACACCGTTGGCATGGAAACCGTGCGTCTAGTCGCTGTATTCGGCTGGAAGCGGGTCCTGTTCGAACAGTGACCGCTAGCAGTAACTCAATTGCGGGATTTCATTTTTTTTCCGCGAGAGTGAAATTATTTGATTTTAAATAAAAATAATTAATTCAGTTGAATATTTAATAAAAAATCATTCTCTGTCTTACGACGGTAAAATTTTAGTTAAAAATTTAGGGAGAGCTACCATTAATTTATTAACAAAAAAAAGTGTTCATGGCAAAACGAGAGACTTTCATAGATATTTTAATAGACATAACAAGTATGGTAAATTTTTGTGGATGTGCGGTTTGAAAAAAGTAATAAATTGTTTTGTTTTGCGTCTTCTCAGTAATGATTTAAAACCAGAGATACCTACTTATGTGAACAAGTACTTTTTTACTTTTATTGAATGTATTTTTGTATTTATTTCCGTCGCACAATTTCGTCTATTATAATAACAACATGTCTCCTCATTTCAAAAGGTCACGAACCGCCACTGATGTAAGGGCATTTCCCATTCTGCGTAAGATAACATAACATTGACAGAATGATCCATAGTTTCATTAATGACGTGTAGGAACCCAACGCCATTCCAAGTTGTTTAAACATCCCCATAGAAAGACGCCACCTTTACCATGTTCTATATTGTAGGAGGTACAGTCGCGGGCCTAGAAAACTGGACGACTAGAATATAGTGTGGACTAGATTTGACACTCCTCGAAATTTAAAAAAAAAATTAGGGTTTAATTAATGTTTGTGTCTGACAAATCAAACAATTTTCACAAAGTCACTGTTCCGGTTTTCAAATCAAAAGCTTACATCCAAATTGCCATTATAATATTAAAAAATAATAATAAAAACTAAAACCTTGTTATGTCAAAGTGCTCTACTTTTCTATGGCCGCGACCGTACGTACTTAGGATTAAATCTAGTATTAATTGGACATCTATCTTACCCTGACATTTGAATTTTTTGTGATTAAGTAACCTGCAATTGGCCGAACTTTTGTAAAAAGGATTCCAAAAAGCAAGGTATTAATGTATTCATTGACAGAAAACATATCTTTATTCTAAAACATGTCAAGACACAAAATAGTAAAAAAAGTAATGACACTAAACATTAGTGTAAACTTACAAATATTCAAGTGTCGTTTCTTTTTTTGTCTGGCAGTGTATTTTATACCGAGCAGAAAATATTTTTTTCCAATCGTCAACTGATTAGTTTAAACGTTTTCTTGCAGATTCAAGTCCAACACATATGTTTTTCGCAGATATAAGTGTTTTTTTGGTAGAGCATCTATTAAATAATTTGGCTTCGATAAGTCTTCTCTGCGCTGTTCTCGTAGCGACTATTCTAGTTCCAAAATTTCAACCATAATCCTCGATGCGGATTTCCAAGGATCATTTTAACAAGTTCGTTTGATGCGCCTATCCATGCATGTTGAAGCTTTCCTTGGTCTTCCCGGTTAAGCGCTTTCGAGCACGCCAGTTTGTCGGAGGAGCTGGAAGAGCCATTTATGGCCGTAGTCAAAAGCGTGCTATCAGCCGCTTCCTTCCTCTCATTCTACCTCTATGGAAGTAACTGAGTTAGAGTAGGCACACTCACAGAATGTCCAAAAATGTGGTCCGAATGTCGTCCGACGTCCCCTATTGTTTTTAGGCATGCCTCTTTAAATTTAATCGTAAATTTGTTGATAGCTGTTTGCACGTTCCTAACGTGGAGGTAGAGTGAGAGGAGGAAAGAGAGTTTGAAAAATCGCCTAGTAGCGCGCATTCGACTGGGGTCATAAATGGTTCTTCCAACTCCCACTCCTCCGAGAAACTTGGTTGTTCCAGTGGCGTCCTCAAAAGCGGTTATCGAGGGGCTAGACATATAATACAAAAACTAACATGTAGGAAGTTAATAGCATTGATTAAATGTACATATGTATTTAATCAATGTTAATGGTAAGAGTCATGAATGGATAAAGGGTCAAATTCTTTTACTATTTGCTACCTGTGAACCCATTCTTAACCAAAGTGGATCATCTGTTGATAACCGACCGCTACCGATGTACTGCGGAAAGGGTTTCTTTAACATTGGTTAAATGAGGTATGGTCCCACCTGCCATCCTACATCCATGGTTCCTAACAACATTTATTAAACTGTGTTTGCATTAATAAGGTTTAAATAACTAACAAGATACATATATTGTATTTACTTATAAGCGTATTTTTTGTCGTTTTGTTTAAAATTACCGATAATTTTGTTGCACAAAATAAAATGAAGTGTAACATAACATTTTACTTTAACTTAGGTCTGTTGTTATGTAACTATATGTGACCATTGTGTGAATAAAAATGTAAACTCTAAAATTAAGTAGGTTTATATAATTTTAACAGAAAACTTAAAATATAAAAACATGTACTTTATTTATCACTACAGTAATTGTATCACATCACTGATCAAAATGGTAATTGGACATAAAAATGTATCACCATAGTGTTGAAAAATATAATACTCTGCAATAAATAAAATAGATACTTAAACAAGAAGGTACCATTTTTACTTAAAATTCTAAAAGATGTTTATTACTGCTCCCACATGCTATTGATGGTGGTGTAGAATTGCTACTACCTACCTCTTGCAAATCTAGAAAAGTAAAATTATTTTATTACATCTAAACCCAAAAAGTTCAACAAACCTGGGGGTAAATGCAATTTTTCAATATGAAACTTTTTTCGCCTCAACTTAAAAACATATTCAATTGACCCTGGATGTTTTGACGCGAACGAATTGATAGCCGCTAATTTAGTTAAATGGAAAAACCCATGGTAATCAGATAAACTGAAGTTATTTTCTAATTCAGTTCCTGAGAAGGTTTGTAGTCTCATTGCAATGTCACTAGAATGAATGCATCTGTCAAGTGAGTTCTGAAATGAAATGAAATAAATTAGTAATTACTCTTATTATAATACAACAAAATAAACACCTCATGATATAAATGAGTTGGAATGGTTATCACAGCCACGGCAAAAGCAGATCTTACTAAAGCTCTGAGACAAAATATAAACATATCCAAGTCACGACTTTCATTCATTAGATGATATGAATCTCTACTAGGTAGCCACATTGGTGATCCCAAAGAATGAATGCCTACTCTGAGTACATTCCTTTTTGAAGGATTATCTTTTAAAAAGAACTTTCCTTCTTTTATTTTTTCTTTTACAGCTTTTAGCAATTCATTGTATGCGGGATTGGCAAACATGCTTGTACCATTTTCTATTCGTTGTCCATTCCAGTAGCAAATATCGGAATTTTCTATGTCAGCAAGACTCATAGTTTTGGACAAGTCAAAATAATGGCCTATATTATGTGAATCTTTATCTGAAGTTGGTAAATTTTGATATCTAAAAGCTATTCTCATTTTATCGTCTTGTATAGAGTCTGAACTGATCGTTGACTCTTCAGGATCATTATGAATCACAGCTGGAAGATTTTTAATCTAAAAGAACAAGTTTTATTAACTGCCTTGTAAAGAAAGTGGTTAGTTTACTATATTGTACGGATTCATGTCTAGGCTAGCGACTAGTGTGGAATGATCATTAACAATTCCTTCCGCCAAGAAGTAGTCCAACATAATTTTTGCATGGGAACCATAGATATCTTCCTCTAGAAAAGTAACAGTACTGCTGAAAAATTCAAATCTTAATTTAAAACAGTTCCTCCTACCTATAATGGTCACAGTCCCCACGGGCAAACCGCCTCCTGCAATTAAGTGAAACCGTTTATTTAACGAACAAAGGCCACTTAACCTAAAACTTACCTAGGATTGAATCGACGGAGGAAATTCCTGTAGAAGTTAACAACTGAGCATTTTGACCATTTATAACAGTCCCTGGGATGTTAAAACTTCCTCGTGAAGGTTTTTCCATTTAAATAAGCGACTTATAATAACTCTACACTACGTATTCGACGATGTACTTAAACTTCGATTATTCGATCCACGGTTCTCTTGTTCTCTTTGACAGGTTTGACCGGATTGACACTAGTTTTATTTAAACAGCGTTACCAACTATACGAAATTCCCGCTAGAATCTCAACGATATTTTGATATTTGAAAATGTCTAAATTCCGGATAAAGATAATTTTACCGAGCAAAAGTTCCCAAACCTAGTTCATACTTTGAAATTTCAGGTAATATAATGGCCTATATTATGTGAATCTTTATCTGAAGTTGGTAAATTTTGATATCTAAAAGCTATTCTCATTTTTTGCCACCTTGCAGGTGGCAAAACGTTAACAGAACGTGTTTAGTTCTTTCCAAAAATTGAGAATATTGTCTTAAATAAATATATAAGTTATTAGTGATGTGGTGATGTCATCGCAAATAAATTTATTTAGTGACGTTATCTCAAATAGTTTATAAGTAAACTTCTCTTTAAATACATATAAGGCACGATATACTCCTTTATCTGTAGTTTGGCAATCCACTTCTATTTTTACTATGCTAAGATATAGTTACAATGTAATTATTATGTTACAGGCAAATTCGTTCTAATAACGTGCTTGATTTGGTGATGTTTTGCTTCAGAAAATAGTTTCATGCCAATAAATTTTTATTATTAAACTAGCTGACCCGGCCACGCGTTGCTGTGACTAAAGTTTTTGTTATATTACATTATAGTAAACAATCTAAGAGGAACAATAAGAGAACATCAGTCACGGAGTCCACTATGCTTTTTCACACAGATGGTATTTGTAAAAAAATATGGTGATCTCCTTATTTGACTTTCTACTACTATAACCCTTTAGTACAATGAAATTATTTACGAACAAAGACGAAAATGTTGATGTTGGTATACAAATTCACTGGATTGAGATTTGAAGGGGAAGTACGTTGAACACAATTAATTAAAATGTTCTTACACTTGATATTAAGCAGAAATCAATAGGTACAAAATAAAAATTTATCAGATTTATTATTTCCATTTAATTTTATAACAAATATAAGTATATTACAGTATAATACAGTAAATAACATGTGACGCTTAAACTCATGAATGAGGTAGGCAAGGCAGACAGTCTTAAAGTTTTAAACATTAATATCTATTTTTTTGAATTATAAATACTTTCAATTTCAATTTAATTTAACACCAATCGGTGCACAATGTTTTTGGTTAACCTGTCTTTAGCTAACACAAATAGATTCGACGATCACCAACCATGATAACAGCAACCTCATCAACAGTTGGAGCGTTGAATCTACCAGCATGTTCACCTAATGGTACTTTGTCGGCTTTTATGACGATTTGATAATTGTCATTTTGCAGTCGTGGCGAAACTCTTTTGATCAATTGAATTAGTTGATTGTGATCTTCTAAAAAATTTTCCAATAATATCACAATTGCTCTTTCCTCTGCTTGTTCAATAAAATTATACAGGCACCGAGTCGTCACGCGCTCTTCACAATCGCCCATAAAATAAATTTGAAGAAATTTCGGATTGTTATCAGGCATTGGCATCAGTGATCCGATTTTATGGTACACCTGGCCTTGAATTTTGAATGTAGTTTCAAAATTACGTCCATCGGATGCACGATCGCAAATTTTAGTTGCCCCAAATGACGTCATTTGGAAGCAAGAATTAAATTTCCGTATCTTACGCAAAAATAATTTGGAATCATCTGAATTGCCAGTAAGAAGGGATAATAAAGGCTCCGGCGGAGCGGGTAGAGGTGACAGCACAACTTTTCCTGATGCGCAGCACATGCCGGCTGCTTCATTCCGAAATTTCAATGCCTGACAATATTGACATACTTTATCCATTCCACCGATAGCAATTTTTGAATGCGCTGAGTAGTTAATATCTGGTGCATATTCAAAGGCAAGCCGAACGAATGATGCACGTGTTAATGAGCGGCTGATCCGTTGCCTTTGTCGATCTGGTACTCGTACTGTAGCTATGTTTCGTTCTCGTGCCGCTCTTGTTCTCGTAATATTCTGTTGCCGACGTTCGTCACGCTGTTCTTGAGATTCTTGTGCACGACTTTCTGCAGTCCTGATTCTTTCAGCTGCATTTCTTGTTTCGATTTGTTCTGGTAATTGCTGAGCTCTTTCAACACGTTTGCGTCGTGACCCTTTGCTGCTCGCGTTGTTGAGGTTAGATTTTTTCGGTGGCATTTGACTGACAATAATAATTTAATCGTTTAAATATTAGAAACCCAGTCGAAAGGTATCGACATCTGTTAGAATCATTTGGAGTTAACAGATAATTGTGACTGTCAAATAATAGCAGACAAATAATTAGCAATAAATTAAAATTGCGACTATAATTTGAGATTTAAACTATCCTATCCCTCAAGTTGGATCGAACTGCACATGGTGTGCGAATTTTATTATAATCGGTTAAGTGGTTTAGGAGTCCATTGAGGACCAACATTGTGACACGAGATTTATATATATTAAGATTAATAAATACTTTATCCGTTGAACAACTGTTGACAAATAAAGTGGTGTAGGATACTAGCTGAATATAACATTTAGTATTAATTAATTATTTTTTATTTTTGTGAAGGACATACATACAAACTATTAAAGGTTTAAGAAGTTTATAGTCCGGTCAAATTAGACATTCGGTGCTACATAAATTCGCAACAAGCTGAATTTTGGTACAATTGTTCAAAATACAATTGTAAACAAAACCTGAAAGTTCCCCATCATTCCCGTGTATGGAAAAAATTTTATTCAAGGTCAAATGTCAACAAAATGAGTTTTTCGCGATTTTCAGCAAAACGGTAAGTTTTATCATAAAACTACTTCAGACTAAAATTATAGATCATAAAATTATCTATAAAAAATGTATGTGTACTTTGTTCCTACGAGCCACCGTTTCCGAGATATAGCGGTGCAAAAAATTGTAATCGTCATAAAATGCACACGTTTCCACGCCACCTATGAAGTAATGTACTTAGCGCGTTTTTTTAAAGTGGTTTCCCCAGTAGGTCTACTCCACAAGTCAATAATGATCCAGTTTAATTGAAACTATTGTAAATAATGGATATTAGCAAAAAAAAAGCGATGTTGATAAAAAAAAGTAGACATTCATTCATCTGAGTCGTAATTTTCGAATTCTTCTTCTTGCTTTTCTTCTTGTTCTTCTTCTTCTGCTTCATCCTCGTTTTGGGTGCAAGTAAATTCAGTCAATAACGATGTATCGCAAGTCAGCTCGTTGACGTCGAATGAATCATCAATTGTTTGATTCAACATTAGAGCATGACTTGCCTTGGCAACTTCTACACGCTAGAGAACAGAACAGTCCCACTTTTTTGCAATCACATTTAACACTGCATCCCTTTTTGCAGTTGCAAAAAATTGCGTTTAGCAATTTTTCCGGCGCAGGTGGAAGCAAAGTTGGAACTGGTTCCAATTCATTGTTAACTAACTTCCAACCCCAGTCTGTTGGGTCTTTCTGATAACCAAGCCACACTTGAACTTGGTAATATACCCGAAGAAGATGTTGGTGAGCAGCAGCCGAGGTTGGAGGAAGACAAGCTAATTGTACCTGTTTTTTGTTTTTGGTATTTTTGACGAAACATGCATACCGATGTTTATCTAAGCAGGTAGTTTTTTAGGAGCTCCGTACATCGAAAGAAGAAAGTGAGCGCCACTTGTGATGATCTCATGTTGAGTTGAATTACAGTTTCACATTCAACTAAACCTTGTTTTTCAAACATTTTGAAAACTGTCCTTTTACCCCTCTTATAAAATGCAGATGTTGTATCACAGCCAGTTATTGCATGTAGAAATAGTAGGTATGTGATTTTGACACTTTGCAAAAGAAGATAAACTTTTAGAAGTATCTATATATTTCCGATTGATGTTAAGCTTTTCCTGGTTTTAAAAAGAAAATAGTTTTTTCAGTTGGAGTTCGAGCAGTGAGCAATACGAGCAAATCTACATCTTCACCAACAACAATAATTGTATGTGTCGAATTAAATTGCTCTATTGCTGTTTCAACAATCAATACATCAGCATCGTTATTGGCTTGTTTTACCAGTATATTTTCAGCAGTCAACTTTTCTTTCAACATTGAAATGAATGTAATGTATATATTTTATATTTTTAGTGCAAGTTACAATGACCGACAGAAAAATATTTTACCCTATACTATATAATATTACAACTCTAGAGATGAATATATACGTGGCGTACTCATTGTAGTTAGTGGTCATCTCTTTAGACTACATTTAAGTCTATAGCAAGCTAAGTAACGAACATTCATATTATTTATTATGTACTATATTATATTCAGAATTATTGTCAGAGAGCCATTTTGCTGAAAGAATATGATTCGACCGTTTTATCCACCATGTGGTATTTGATCTTTTTGTTACCAATTGATCTCAGTTCTTTTGTTCCTGTTGTTATGTTATCAACAAATTAAAATAAAGCGTGATAAAACAGACGTCATCAAGTTGGCAGTGGGCAACTACCCATATTGACAATTCAATAAGACAAAAAATCTGTCGTTAGTCAGAAGCCAATTTTTGTTCATTGCACGTAAGTTTATAGGATTATAACGTGGATTATAATTTAGTCTAGAATAAACAGATGCCTAAATGAAAATATAACTTAGAACAATAACAGATAGTTCGTGCAAATTAAAACTAATAGTCGGGAAACAAACGTGAAAATTTTGTAATAGATAGATTTTTGATCCATCAGCACAATTTTTTTTTAATTGTAATACCTAAGTAAATGTCTCTTATTTGATTGGTAATGTAAAAACTTGCATCAGATTTTTTTTATATGATGTTGACGAGTGATTATTATTATTATTATTATTATTATTATTATTATTATTAGAGTAAGTTGGTCAACAGGCACTAGTCCCAATTACAGACCAACAGATACATACAGAAGGTATAGATGTATAAAAACTACTGTCAAATTCATCACACAGCTATAAATTACCGCCTGACCCAGAAAGGTTAAATTATGACAATAGTACAATTAGACCGTTGGAAGAAACGCCAGAGAAAGTAGTTATCAGT